TCCCACCAGTCTGTGCTTGTTTCCCGGGCCCAGAATCGGCGTTCTCCCGCATGAACTTGCCTCATTAGCACCATGATGCCCAAATTGCCAGGGCCTGTGCTTCGAGAGAAGTCTGTGTCCATGTCCTCATCACTCTCGTCACCGCGCTGACGTCGCCTACTTGCCTGGTTTCGCTTTGCCAGGTTCTGGTGCTTCATATACTGCTGGATAATGCGCGTGGTGTTTAATGTGCTCCTAATTGCCAAAGTGATCTGAACTGGCTCCATGCTTGCCGTGGTATGGCATCTGCACAGAAAAAAGGCGCGGAATGATTGTCTGCCGTTGCTCTGATGGAGGGAGAGGCGACTGACGACATGGCTTACAGGGTTGTCTTACTGGGAATTAAAAGCACAAAGAGGGTGGCTTTACATCAAGGAAAAACAAAAACAACTGTCTCACAGAATGGCCCCCTAAAGGATTGAACTCAAAACCCTAGGTTTAGCAGGCCAATGCGCAACCCAATGCTCAACCCACTGAGCTATCCCTCCCCCTGGTATTTCAGGCAGGACTGAATCTCCATTAAACTCTTCAAGGTGCCCCGACGGACCTCACCGAAACGATTGCCGGCTGTTGATTTCACGGAGGGAGAGAGGGGGCAGCAAATTAATACAAAACAAATCTGGTCTATTTCTTGTTTTGATCCATTCCATCTATCTTTTACATCTTTGGCTGGCAGCAGACAGTGCAGTAGGACTGCAAGCCATCCACATCTCCTGGCAGCTTGGCAGAAGATGGTACAATAGGGCTGCCTGCAGGACTAAAGAGAATGACCTGGTTGAGTCACTCCTGTTTTAGTCCCTGCACCCATGTCTGCCCAGGCACTCCTGACTGACCTCACTGAGGCGGCCAGGAGCACCTCGGACATGATGATGATGGTTATCAGGCCTATTGCATTATCTGCTGCCACAAGGCAATGGGTTGCTGCTGCTGTGTAGCAATGCAGTCCCGCATCTGCCAGCACCCAGGAGATGTACGGTGATGGTGAGCTGAGCCGGCTCCATGCTTGCCGTGGTATGGCGTCTGCACAGGTAACTCAGGAAAAAAGGCATGAAACGATTGTCTGCTGTTGCTTTCATGGAGAGAGGGAGGGAGGGAGGGCCTGATGAAATGTACCCAGAACCACCTGCGACAATGTTTTTGACCCATTAGGCATTGGGATCTCAACTCAGAATTCCAATGGGCGGCGGAGACTGCGGGAACTGTGGGATAGCTAATCACAGTGCAACGCTCCGGAAGTCGACGCTAGCCTCGGTACTGTGGAAGCACTCCACCGAGTTAATGCACTTAATGCACTTAGAGCATTTTGTGTGGGGACACACACAATTGACTATATAAAAATGATTTCTAAAAAACCAACTTCTATAAATTCGACCTAATTTTGTAGTGTAGACATCAGATAAAGTATGTTCTGACTGATCCTAGTGTTAATTCTCTGCTCCCTTAAATTTACCTTTATAATAGGTTCCTATCTCTAAAATACCTCTTTGAGAACGTTACAAAATTTGCTTCACTACATAGCCAGGTGATAGTAAAATCATTATAGGATCCTCTTCCTTTCAAAGCACTATAGAGCATTAGAAAAACTAGACCAGAGGTGGGCAAACTATGGCCCGTAGGCCACATCTGGCCCATGGGACCCTCCTGCCCATCCACTGAGCTCCTGGCCCAGGAGGCTCGCCCCCAGCCCGGGAGGCTCGCCCCCAGCCCCTCCTGCTGTTCTCCCTCCCCCACAGCCTCAGCTCACTGCACCGCTGGCATAATGCTCTGGGTCGGGGGGCTGCGAGCTCTTGCCGGGCAGAGCAGCCGCAGAGCCATGGCCTGACCCGGTGCTCTGTGCTGTGCGGTGGCATGGCTGGCTCCAGCCGGGTGGCACGGCTGCCTGGCCTGGTGCTCTGGGTGGCGCAGCTGTAGCGCCATCAGCCACCAGTGCTCCAGGCAGCGCGGTCAGGGGGCAGGGAGCGGGGGGGGTTGGATAGAGGGCAGGGGAGTTTGGGGTGGTGGTCAGGGTTCGGGGGTGTGGATAGGGGTTGGGGCGGTCAGAGGGTGGGGAACAGGGGCGTTGAATGGGGGCAGGGGTCCCGGGGGGGCAGTCAGGAAGGAGGGGGGGGTTGGATGGGGTGGCAGGGGGCAGTCAGGGGCAGGGGTTCCGGGGCAGTCAAGGGACAGGGTGAAGAGGTGATTGAATGGGGCAGGGGTCCAAGGGGGCAGTCAGGAGTGAGAGGAGGGGTTAGATGGGGTGGCGAGGGGCAGTCGGGGTGGGGGGTCTGGGGGTGGTCAAGGGACAGGGAGGGGTGGATGGGGCAGGGCCGGTGCAACCACTAGGTGAACTAGGCAGTCGCCTAGGGTGCCAAGTGGCTGGGGGGCGGCCAAAAGCGCGCTCGGGGGAGGTGGTGGAGTGGAGGTGAGCTGGGGCAGAGGGGCCCGGGGAGGGCCACCTGCAGCAAGTCACCGGGGGGGGTGGTGCACAGGGGAACCGCTCCCCGCCCCAGCTCACCTCTGCCCCGCCTCCTCCTCTGAGCCCGCCGCCCGGCTCGGCTTCTCTCCCTCCCAGGCTTGCGCGCCAAACAGCTGATTGGCGCCGCAAGCCTGGGAGGCAGAGAAGCGGCAGCAGCTGGGTGCTCGGGGAGGAGGCAGAGCAGAGGTGAGCCGGGGCGGCGAGTTGCCGCAGGGTTCCCCGAGGGGAGAGGGGGTGGCGGGGAGCTGCCGCTGGGGGGAGTGAACGTGTGCAAGTGGCTGGCTATATTAATTGTATTAAAAAACCCTGCTTGCTATTAAATGTAAGTCACATTAACAGCTGTAACTGCAAAAACATTGTAACCGCGATAAGAGCTCATATGCTCATAACCATGGTAATGTCTTAGCGGAGCGGGATGCGCTAACCACAGCGTCAGCTTGGTAAGATCTCCCTGTGGGCGAGAGCTAAACATATGTAAGTGTGAAGGTCTAAACACCTGGTTGGCTCTGATTGGCCACGGTATGGTAGACTGGGTCGGGCCTTAAAAGCCTCAGCAAGATCTTAGCAGCAGTAAAAACCAAATAAATAGCAGCTTGAAACTCCCAGCATTTGTGGAGTAGGACGGTGTCCTAAGCGGGTCTTAGGATCCTGTAGGCGGCCTGCAGACACAGCAGGGCTCCCCTCCCGAACTCTTCGGTGGCCGTTCAGCTGCCTTGCGGCCGACGCCTGATCAACGTCCGTGAGCCAGAGCGCCAGAGGGTACAGTATATAGCAGAGTGCTTGAGTATGTGTCGCCCTGTGTCTGTCTAGACAAAACCGTCATAAAGTATTCACGTCATAGGCTTGCCTCAAAAATATATATAGTCATTTAAGTCATATATGGATATAGTCATTTAAAGTCATGTAAGTCGGTATAATCTTTGCTTTTTGCATGCTCTTTTTATTTCTGTATTTGTTCATAGTCCTTGTGACGATCGTAATAAAAGTCATCTATTGTTATCTTCACCTGTTGTCACGTGATTGCTGAAAATTCTCTTACTAATATAAATTTAGTGAGGCGCGCTTACCACCCGGGGGAAGTTGTGGTCCATCCCCGGTACTGTCTCTTAATCGGACAGCTGTGGGCTAATTTCCTCTCGCCACGTTCCCTTAAACGTTTTTCTAACGTTTCACTGGGGGGCGCGTCAGGGCGGGGGGGGGCGGCGGGAAGCTACTGCGGGGGGGCACCTCAGGGCGGAGGGGGGGTGTAAGGTGGAAGTTTCACCTAGCGTGCAAAACATCCTTGCATCGGCCCTGTCTGGGGGAGCCGTAAGGGGACATGGAACTGTGTGTGTTTGGGGTGGGGGGGTTGGATGGGTCAGGAGTCCTGGGGGGGGCTGTCAGGAGATGAGAAGCAGGGGGGGTTAAATAGGGGGTGGGGGCCAGGCTACGCCTGACTGGTTGGGGAGGCACTGGCCAACTGGCCATCCATACAATTTTGGAAACCCAATGTGGCCTTCAGGCCAAAAAGTTTGCCCGCCACTAAATTAGACCATCACTTATGTATCATACTTCATTGATCTGTATAGAAAATAAAACTCAGTTCCAATTTGCTAAGAGAGCCTGATGCAAAGTCCTTCCATTGCCTCTAAAATTTCCATTGTTGGGTTTGGCCATAGACTGCTGATGAATCCTCTGTAACTCCTGTTGGATATCTGGCAATGTGCACAGTTTATGATATTTATTTGTACTACCAAGACTGGGGCCTCATCGTGCTAGGCACTGTATAAACACATAATAAGAGAAGTCCCTGCCCCAAGACAAAGGGTGGGAGACAGGAAGTCTTATCTCAGTTTTAAAGGTGGGAAACTGAGGCATGGATGGATTAGGTGACTTGCCCAAGGTTACACCGGAAGTCTGCAGCAGAGCATGGAATTGATTGTATAACTCTTCATGAGTCTTAGTCCAGTGCCTTGACCACCAGACTGTGGGGTAAGCAGTGCCCCCCAGGCATCAGGAATACGATCTGATGCACCTGGTTTATTTACAGGGCATATAAATATAAAGGAGAATGCAATAAGTCTCTTTCTGTATCCTTTACACTGTGCTGAACGCATGCTGTAGTTGTGCAGATTATAAGTGAACGGGCTGGCTTCCCCTCTCATTATGCATAAGCCAAGAGTCACTCCATTGTGAATAAAATGAGTGTAAATAGGAGACCTCTAGTTCTTAACCTAAGACACTGTTACAGCATACTCTTTCTGTAGTACTATAGCTCTGTGATGTTGGCTAGAAGACATTTTTTGAGTCTAGTTATGTATCAGCGCTAACTAATGCACTTGTATAGTTACACAGGGCTGTCCCTAGTGGGGTGCGGGGCCCGGGACAAATCAGCCCTCGCCGGCTTGGGGGCCTCACTCTGCATCGGTGGCTGGGCCGGCAGGACAGATCCAGCCTGGTGCTGGGCTGCCTGCTATTGCTGGCAGTTGCCAGCACCTACCGCGGGGCTATTGTTGGCCATAGCACCATGGCAGCTCAGGGCTCCAGCCAGGGCGGGGGACTCACTGCACTGAAACATGGGCGGCCAAGCTGGCTGCTGCCTCTGCTAACTGCCAACAAGATGGCGGATCCTGCGGAAATGACGGATTTGTCTTCTGCAACCAACCGCACCGGCCCATGGGGCCCCCCAAAGCACGGGGCCCAGAGTGGTCACTCCAATTTGCCCTTCCCAAGGGATGGCTCTGTCGTCACTGCTGTCTTTGGGCCACATTGTCCCTGGCCCTTTTGTTGGGCCTGGGAGGATGGAAGTTTACATCTTATGCTCTTCTCCCATAGCACATGTTGTACAAGGTCCAGAAACATTGCACAATCCCCTCCTGAGCTCCTCTGGCATCAGTGCTAATCTGCATAGCCCAAAATAAAGGACAGCCCCTCCCAGGCCCAGTTGAGTCATTTAAGAGCAATAACACTTATTGCTTGGCCAGTTCTGTGTTGATTACATTTACTGGACTCCATTGGGAATGCATCTTTTCTAAGTCTGCGTACAGTTTGTCCTGCTGTTTTTTGTCACATGGCACAAACCCAGTGTGTTGCAACTTAGGCTCCCTCAGCTACAAGTGAGTAAATTTCAAAGCGATCTAATGCACAATGAAAATTGTTCACGAAATGAAATAGTACGGGCGCAGCTGTGGCTTTGCCACAAGCCCCATGTGATACATAGTGCTGATGAAAATCTGAATCTGTTGAAATTGACGGGACACCTTGCACGAACAAGACTTAATCAGCTACAGAATAGCTTGTGAGATCAGGTCCCTAAATGAAAAAATAAAAAAAGTTCATGGAGCCTTTGTTATGCTCTCAGTTTCCATTCAGCGAGACTTTATTGGCATGATGAGCTATAGTAGAGTAGTCTAGTATGAAGTTTGGATCCAGGATTTAGGGGTATTCGGCTCTACGGTACTGCATCAGGCCCCATACAAAAAATATACATGCATACATGCGTCTTTATGTATTAGAGGGAAATGTTCATTTGGGAAAACAAAAATAAAGAGGCCATCTCTTCAAGTCCTGATTCAATTGTTATTCAGTCCTGATGTAGCAAGAGAGATTTTGCCTGAATGAGGACAGAGTGATCACTGTGGCCTTTGACCTGCTGCCCTATGGTGAATGATGGTGCATGGGGAAACAGGAAGAGCGCAAAGAGCTCCACCCTTTTGCAGTGCTGTTCAGCAACAGGGGGCATCTGTAGTCGTGGCATTCCCCAGAGTGCACATGCTGTTTCCTCTATGTCCTCTTGTGCATAAAACCCTCTAAAGAGACAGGGAGAGAGGTAGGGCCAGGGACCTATTCCTGCCCCATCCCCTGGCAATGGCCAGCAAAGCTGGTCATTTTGATAGGAGACTGTGTTTCATGAATGAGGGGTGTAGCAGGTGACCCAGTCTCTGGGATCCAGACAGTTCCAAGCACCTGGGCTGGCGCATCCTAAGCATGGAATTGTGCCTTCAAGGCACAGCAGAGCCCTGAGCAAGGACTTTAGGACTGGAGCCCATAACGCTTCACACTGGTACCTAGAGTTTTCATTCTCAGAGCTTGAGACCTGACCACAGCTTCACTGGAACAAGTTCAGAAGTGAATCTCGATTGTCAGCTTGACAGACTTTGACCAAGCTGGTGCTTATTCTTAGGAGAAAGTGGAAAGGGATGAAAGAGAAACCTGTCTTGTGTTGGCTTAACTGAGTATGAAGGACTGCAAGCAGATTGATGGTGCTGTCAAGAGAAGGCTAATGCCACGTTTCACTGGAATGGTCCCGGAGCTCAGTTATCCATCCAGCCGAAAAACAAATTAGCTAACAAACCAGTTTAATAGGTATTTGCTCTAATGATCTACAGGACTGGATAAAATCCAGAAGAGGCGGGAAATGGAAAATACCCATTTTGGGGGGCATTCTGATAAACTCGTAAAGTACATTTAAAATACAAAGCACTGGTCTGAATACCTTGGTACTCAGTTATTCTCAGGAGGATTAGTGAGAAATAATTTGGGATGATGAAGGAAAGATACAAGTGTCTTCTTTTAAATAATTTCCCTTTTTGATATTGCAGGTTATAGATCAAAAGGATATATATGCGCAGCACACTATTTCCAAAGAGAGACACGGGTCTCACAAACTTCCAGGTAACAATTTTCCATACATTTCATCAATGAACACACAGAGAACAATGACCTTTCAGAGATTTAGAACTTTGTCTGAAAAGCGAACCCATACAGAGCCCAGAGGTGGATGATGTCTTTGTTAGGGAACTACCAGGAGTGCAATTAAAAACAATCCAGCATTTAATGTGGTAGTTTAATTTCCCATAATATTTGTGATGTTCCCCATTTGAAGTAGAGGGAATTCTAGAAGTATGGCACAGTGAAATACTGTGGCACTGAATGGGCTAAATCCTCAGCTGGTACAAATTGGTATAGTTGCTTTGACTTCAGTGAGGCTACGCTGATTTATATCAGTGGAGGATCTGGCCCTAAATGTTGACTTTTCTTTTAATTGTACCTTCTGCGGTGCTGCTTTTGACCATTCATATAGGCGTTTAGGTACCTGTATTAGGTATCTGCACGCTTAAGTGTTCCTTCTGCACTCTTGTGCAGAACCAAGTCCCCTATCTTAGGCACACAAATGTGAAAAGTGGATCTACAGGGCCAGATCCTCACTCATGCGAACTGGTTCTGGCTTCAGTGGAACTATTCCAGTCTACACTAGCTGAGGATCTGGCCCTTTTCATCAGGTATGAGCTGTGATCCTTTCTATTTGGGAAACTAATTTGAAAGCAAATCCATTCAGTTAACACACATGTGCACTGAAGTTTATAGGTTAAAGCAGGGGTTCTCAAACGGCATTGTACCGTGACCCCCTTCTGACAACAAAGTTACTACATGACCCTGGGAGGGGGGCAGAGACCGGGCCCGGCTGCCTTGGGTGGGGGGATAGGAGGCCACAGCCCGAGCCCTGCCACCCCAGGTGGGGGTGGAGCTCAGGCTTCAGCTTCAGTCCTGGTATAAGGCTGGGCTTGGCAATCCCATTAAAATGGGGTCGCAACCCACTTTGTGGTCCTGACCCACAGCTTGAGAACTGCTGGGTTAAATTTTGCTGAGATTTACCAGACAAAAATTGCACTGAAAAATTGGTCCTGTTAGGATGCCTCCTTGAGCCCTCTTTACTGAGTCAATAAAGAGATGCAGCCAAAAAATAAATTCACCTCTGTTGGATGTAGCCAAGAGAACTTCACAAAAATCCCAGAATTCCTATTTTATTTGTGAACACATGAGAAAAGGAAGTTTATCTTCAGTGCAGAATCAGTGCTACTTCGGATGTGCCGTGCAATGAAATCCATGTCCATGATGCTAGTTGTGAGTCAGTACTGTACACATGTAATTATGGGCATTATTCTACAAAAAGAAAGAGGGGACATCTATCTAAGGCTCTATGCGCCACGCAATAAAATTATGAAATCAAAATTAGATCATCCACGTAACACCCAACTTCTTTCTCTCGAGTCCTCACTCATCTGATCTCTGTCAAAGGCCCACTTCCACAGCAGCTCACAGAGGACTATGTTGCTCCACTAGGTATCCTTGTCCAACTTAGAGAGAATGTAGATAATAGCCAACCCTTGCAGCCACAGCTGTATGGAATTCAGTGGTCTCTGCTCAGTATTAACTGTGGGTCTGATTTTCAAAGATGGATTTTTTTTGTTCAACACGTCTAAAAATCAGGCATTGTATCATTGTTAATATGGTGCCAAAAGAACAAATGGTGCTTTACGTGCTGTGTCAAATAAATAGCATCCTTCTCCCAATGAGCATACAAACCAAGGACCAAATTTTCAAAAGAGCTCAGCACTCAAAATTGGGGTCAGATTATCAAGAGCCCAGCTTCTAAATTGGCATCACAGTATTTGGCCAGACTTTCAGGAGAACTCAGCACACTGGCTGTGTGGTGGGTTCTGAGCAGGTTTGAAAATCTGGCTCTTATTTAGGTGCCTAAAAGGGAGCTGAACTCTTGACAATCCAGGGCCCAGATGGGGTACGTTAGCGGGAGGAAGTGAGGGCAGCCCCAAGGGGTTGATCCCGTGCAGCGTAAGTGTGGAGTGCTGCGCATGTAAACACCAGGGAAATGGTCAGGAGCTGAGGCTTATAATTGCAAAACCTAATTTTGTTTCTTTGTATGATTTAGAACCCAATTTCAAGACGTATCCCCCTCAGTTACTTCCACATGCGGGCAGCTAGATTTGCACTTAGTTGCCTGAAGCGTCTCTTGGGGTATCTCAGTGTTGATGAGGGTTCTCAAGTGTACAAGCTGGGCCTCTAACGTAGATGTGCCCCTGTTTGAAAAGCAGCCTCTGATAAAAGGATTATTGACAGAGGCCTGATGAGACGCCATCGTAGTCTCTGAATCCCTGGCTGTGGTGCCGGGTGTGGTTCTGGAGGACAGAGCATAGGACAAGTCCTATTTTGCCACTGGAAAGAGAGAAAAGCATTGGAGTCAATGTCTCCACTGCTCACTGGGCAGCGAGTTGAGGCAGGGCTCACTTGCACTTTCTGTATGCAGCTCCCCTTTTGTTCTGGAACAATCACAAAAAACATTAGACCAGGCAAAAGGTAAACATGACTCTTGTTCATCCCCTCATGCAAAACCTCTGATTCAGCAAAAGGATTCCATACACAGTCCTCGTACAAACAACCCCAAGCCCAAAAAACCCCAGCCACCAAATGCTTTGAACTCAAGCCTCTAAAACTGCAAAGTCTTTGTTTTGTGGTCGCTTTATAGCATTCTAATCCACCAACAAAAGCTGGACGCCACTCTCTCTTTCATACTGGCCACACACAATTGCAGCTCATGGAAAGAAAGAAAGAAAACAGTCCCCCAAACTGCTGACAGCCTCTGGAAAGGGAGAGAGGAATGAGGCGGGGCTATTTGATTTTATTTAATTTGCTGCTGGTCGCTGGCATTTAGTGCCACAAATTGCAGTGGAGAGAAGTCATAGGCATTGGGAGATGGGTGGCCTCGCTTCTATTGCTCCCCCCTAAGTCCCCCAAACACATTTCCGATCCAAACTGGAGAGACAGAGACACACAGAAGAGGGGATCTTGGGCCTGCACGGCCTCCCCCAAGCCATGTATAGAAGTAGCTACCTGCGAGAAGTGCGCAAGGAGAAGTATGAGCGATCTGATGCCTATGATGAGCTGCAGGGCACCTCAGACTTCAGCAGCCTGGCCCAAGCCCAGGGCCTGGAGAACCTGCAGGAGCTCAATGAGAGGTTTGCCAACTACATCAATCGGGCCCGGATGCTGGAGCAGCGCAACACTATCTTCCGTAAGCAGCTAGAGACCTTCCAGCGCATGGATGTGCTGGCCGGCTTGGAGGAGGCCTTTGCTGAGCAGATTGAGCTGAATCGTCTGCGCATCCGTGAGCTGTCTGCCGACCGGGCCAAACTGGAGCGAGAGGACAAGGATTCACAGCGCATGCTCGATGAATACCGTAACAAGTAAGCCAGCCAGAGTCAAGGGGTGCTGCCCAGCTCCTCGCTCTGGGTGTCTATTACCACTACATGTTACCACTCTCTAGGGGTGTTTATCACTGTTAGGGGTACATACCCTCTTTCATCTCTAGAAGCACTTTACTCTGAAACAACATGTTAATTTTGCCTTGCTCTGGCTCCGGAAAGCTCTCTTAGTTAGATGCATTTCTTTAGGGAAGGGGAATGAGTCCCATTTCTCATCTTCACAGTCTCTGCTTTCAAATTCTGTTATTTGCTAGCACTCCTATACCAAGAGAAGGCCTGGCTGACAGCAGCATACTCTAATTGCCTAATAAGTCCAAAAGCCATAAGACGTAGTACACGGGGCCAGGATCTGCCCTGGATGTTGGTGCATGGCTCCTATATTGACTTCAGTGTGCCCAAGAGCAGGGGCATTCTCAAGGGGGGGCAAGCTGGGGCACGGGCCCTCCCAATAATTGTCAGGGCACAGAACTTCTCTGGCCCTGGGGCCACGGAGGCATGGAAGAGTGAGCTCCTGCCGGGGTGCAGGGAAGAGTGAACTCTTCCCAGGGCCGGAGTGGGGGGGAAGGGTAAAGTGAGTTCCTGGTGGGGAAGAACTAGCTCCTGTCGGGGACAGGGCAGGGTGAGGGAGTAAAGAGCAAGCTTCTGCCAGGATGGGGGGAAAGAGTGAGCTGTTGCTGGGGCTGGGGTGGTGGAGGCAGTGAGCTCCTTCTGGGGCAGGGAGAAGGTAGAGCAAGCTCCTAGGGGGAGGGCACAGAATATGCCCCTCCAAAAGGGGTCAAAATTTTAATTCCTGTGCACGCCCCTGCCTAAGAACTAGGAGTTGATGTCAGAGGGAGCCACATGGGAGCATCTGAGGGAAGATCTTGACCCTAACTGTATTTGTTTAGGACTGTCCATATTCACTGCATGAAAAGAGTTACAGCACCACAAATTGCTTTTATTTCTTAATTCCATGAAACCCAGAAGAATATACCTGAGTGTCTTCTTGAGAGATTGCCATATCTAGGCCAGTGCATTTCAATTACTCTAAGCTAAGGATACAGTTATTACTTGCACTGATCTACAGGTTCAAATTGGTGGTTTTTGCTTTGCTTTTGCTATTGCATGTGGCGTCCCTTCACACCCAGCCCTGCACAGCACGTGGGCAGAATATAAGGAGAAGAAGAAAAGTGATGAACATGACTAGGCACACCAGGGAACCCTTAGGCTGCATTTCATGAGAGTACTGCTCTGTGGGCCCCGGTTACTCCTGCCTGTTAGCAGTAGAATGGTCTTTGCAGGGAATGCATAGGTGAGCACCCTGTTAGCTTTACGAGCATTGTGCTTATGCCTGCAAGAAGCACAGTAAAAAAGACACAACCCAGTTGGGAGGATGAGGGACAAAGATGACTTTTGTCTGATGTATTTTCATGTCTCTCTAGCACAAAACCAATTTGCTGGTTATTCTTAGATGTTTTAAGTCTATCTGAAAACTCATGCATGAGCTCTATGTGAAGACTGAGATTGTGAGGAATAATAATTATCAAAGATTTTTTCCGAGGCCCAGTCATGCAAATTTACTCCTATGCTAAGGCTATATTTACTATGTAAGCCCTCAAAAGGTAGGGAAATGAT